GACCTTAATTATTTTGTTCTACATTAAAGACTGTAGTATTTTCATAAAAATAATTATAGGTGATATGATCCCTATGAAATAGTTGAACAAAAATAGCCAACAGTGCTTTGTTGGGAAAAAACATAATGAATAAAGAGATGAAAAAAAGGAAAATAGTTGAATAATTAAATAATGCTTTGTTGAGAAATAGTTGAATAAAATCATAATACTTTGTAGGATCCAGCCCGCAAGGAGGGAAGGCAATATGTGGGATTGATCTGAAAGTTTATGAGATAGACTCCAGAGGGAGGGGAAGTCAAATGGAAAATGCCATATGCCCTCGGAAGACATTTTTCCTCTGGTCAACCAGTTTTTTTTGTTGACCTGAAAATATTTTCAGGGTACTAAACAAGGAAAATGATGAAAAATTTTTCATCCTTACAAAACAGAGCCATAGATATAATGTCACTTTATGAGCATCAAAATATATGTAGTGTGCTGAAGATAAACAAACTGATGAATAGTCAGAAGCAACAGAATCCCAACAGGCCCTAATAATTCACCTTTAGTTCAGCATCTTTTATGGCAGAAACGCAAAAACCTAAGATTGACCTAGAGATTGTGGATGTTCAATACCATACAAATGCTGAAAAGCAGTAAAAATTATTCTTAATTTTTCTGAGCAGCAACATAGCCAACCAAGTAAAATTAACAAATTAATCTTAATAAAAGTTTTCTGAGCAGTGATCAGCAAATTGAGAGTCAGTGGATAACAAGGAATAATAAACCAGCAAAAAGTTCAATCTTGAAGCAGTCTTAAAACATGATAATGGCAAGGGAGGAATGACTATAAACCATAATGCCATAACAGAAATAGAAATCCAATGAGAGATGGGAGAGAACAGCATACTTCATCCATGAAAATTACAGAAGGCTGTTTGGATATAGCAACCATGAAGAGAGTCCGAACAAGCTTTTCACCCTCTCCTACCTAATTGATTATTAAAGAACTGATCAAGAGCACAAGATGGAGGAGAAAAGAAATTGAAGAACATATATTTTTTGTTTTCAAAAGTCAAAGAAGGATATAATAGCAAGGATGTTGACAAACCCATTTAGATGTTAGAGAGGATGCAGAAACATTGAAGAATGTTGCCTGTGATTCTGATGCAACTGCTTTGGCAAGCATTGTCTTCCCATTACCAGGTGGACCAAAAAGAAGCAGACCTAGAAATCAACTGTCCAGCAGTTTAGTTCATTAAACTAAGTTTCTTGCAAACTTATCTTCCTAATTACGATAATCTAGCAAGAGGAGACTCTACCTCTAGCCGGCCTTCTAAGCCCAGTGAACAAATCTCGTCTCCTAGTTGGCAGAATAACCATTTCCATTAATGCTCGCTTAGCCTTCTCTAGGCCAGCTGCAAACAATTGAGATAAGTAAGTGCATAACTTCAGCGCAAGTGGTATACATAAAAAATAAAAAATAAAAAAGAGAGCAAGCATTAGAGAGCAAAAACAAAAAGAAGGGAAAAAATGTACAGCATCATACCAACATCTTCCCATTTAACAGAAGGACTTCTATCCACTATTGCTGTATTTATCATTTCAATTAACTTCGATTCATAACCATTAGTAGATTCTTGTGCTGGTTTTGAAGTTCCAACTTTATCTGCCTGATTTCTCACCACTGGATTATGGGAAGACTTTTGCAACACATCTCTCCTAGAAGTTGACGTTCTCGGTGAAACTGCAGCAGTTTGTGCATGAATTGCGGTGCTCTGCAAATATTTTATATATATTATAAAAAAACAAAAGATAAAAGAACATTGCTAACTCACAACTACATAAATTTCCAACTAATCAGTGACAGAATAACAATGCCGATTAATGCAATTCCCATCCAATAAAAATAATTATCATTTAAAAAATATGTATTGAACTAAGCATGCCATACCTTGTTCACGGATGTACCGCCTGAAAAAAGAAGTTGAAAAAATAAGATAAAAAAAATTAATAAGCTTTTTAACATTCTAAAATACAAGGATTAATTAAAATTTACAAGTATCAAATGCTATTATGCTAACCTACTCGGCGACTTAAAACTTGTACTCTCTCAGATACTTGGCCTTGCCATTTTGATATCTTTTGCCTATACGATTTCACTTTTTCTTGTTCACTGCCACAAAAAGTTGAAAAATCATATCATCATTCATCAACATCAAAATTATGACACAACAAAAGGAAACAAAAATTCAAAGCTAATTACCAAAATTGAAATACCTAGAGCTGATATATGAAGGTGCTGGAGTGGAGCTAGCCTCGACCAATATTCGCTGGGCGTTTCTATAGTGAATTACAGCATCATCAACTAAACCCCACTCTTCTGCTCGAACCGCCTTGTCAATCTCTTCTGTAGCCAAATCAAAGTATCCTTTGAGCTTGTATGCAGTGCGTTCATTTCCAGCTATTCCCTCCATGTTCTGGCGCGTTGATGAGCTAGGGTTTTCTGTTGATTCATATGGTGAGCTATCATTAGTTGAGAGGATTGAGCTTAAAGAGTCCATTATACCTTTGAGGAAACTCATATCTACAAAATAGAAAAAGAAATTGATTAATTCTCCAAGAAGATATCAAAATATTTTGAAGAGGATGGCCTTTCAAAAAAGAAAAAGTGGATTGCTAAATTGGCTAACCATTTATGAAAACAAGAGGGAGTTTTCCGAAGATGAAAATTCCACCTCATAGATCAAAATTGGATTTGTTTCAAATTGTACAAGGAATTTTCCGAAATTTAATTGGTGAGAATGAGCGAGAGGAAACAGAAAAAAGGAAAAGGAAAACTCATGCCGCTTTGTTTAGAAGATTCTCTGGGTAGGGAATTGCATTCTACAGCAAAAGCATACTAGACTATTAGATTGCAACCAAAGAAAGAGGAGAAGCATTTTAGGTTTTTAACTAGTTGGCCCTAAAGGCGTTGATTTTTGTTTATTTGTCGTACTTATCCTTACATGACATTACTAACAAATATTCAACAAAAAGGACATAAATAAATGAAACCATATAACTCTAGAATTTGCGGGGGGTATGTTTGGTTGGGAAATCCAACACCCTAAGTATCATGGTATGAGTTGGATGAAATTCTTTTTTACGAGTGCAGCCTTTTCCCTTTCGTATTTCCTTTTATTTTGTATGAAAATTAGATGACAATTTTTTCCATATTTACTATTAAAAATATTTAAATTCTTTTTGTCTCTTACCAATTTTGATACACCATATCACATGTGACAAAAACTCTACAATTTTGCTTTTTCATGAAAACTTCAAATTACTACTCTAAACACCAAATAACCAAAAAATAATTTGCTTGTTTGAAATAATTTAAGAAGTAATTTAGCACCTTGTTTTTGAAGCCAATAATGGCAAGCTCCTTACAGTAAGGGCCTGAATGAAGCTCGCCTTAAGCCAACTCAAATCCGACCCATGAACACCTTTACGGCCACCGTGGTCTAAACCTTAAAACTGTTGCAATCATATACAAAGTCTAGTTTCAACTTAAGTTTAGGGTCTTTTACCCAATCTAATTAGAGAAAAAAGAAAACTGATATATAAAACTATGTACCATCTCACACAAATCAGATGATCAGTTTGGTTCCTTTCATTATTTTTTGAATCATCTTTAACCGTCATTCACATATTAGAATCCATAATTTATAATAGCATCTCACACTTACGAACAGTAATCATATATATTCAAAAGCAAATGGAAACGATTTCAATTCATAAACACGAATATATCCATACCTTTTGCCCAACCAAATAGCAGTCAAATAATTTCTTCCAAAACTCCAATATTTGGAGGGAGTTTCGGTCCACGAAAGAATCACCGCCCACGGCGGCAGTGAAAGCGGCACAAGGAGAGAGGAAAAGTGAAGGAAGTTTCGGATCTAAGGTTTCCTTGAAAAAAGTAGGTGAATTTTAAGGTAACAATCGGTGAAAAGATATAGGGAGGCAGAGGAAGAGGAAGTTGGGGCGGCGGACGGGGCCCGATCTAGGTTTTCTTGAAATAAAAAAGAGAAAAAGGAGGAAAGAGAGAGGGTTTTAGGAAAAACTTAACCGATTAAAATATAGAGGAGGATTAGCTGTTTTTCGAGTCCCAGTGGTCAGTCGTGGCCGGCGGCTGAAAGCACCTGCCGGTACCGTATTCTGGGTTTAGAGAGAGGGGCCCGGCAAACCTAGTGAGAGAAGGAGAGGGAAATTGAAAGAAAAAGGGTTTTATAATTAAGGTTTAGGATGGTTTTTATATATATTTCCAAACTACGTCGTTGGATAATACATAGAAGCATAAATTAAAATATCATTATTGCTGGAATTTTTCCACCCCATTGAGTCAATTCTGAAAGATTTTTCTGTTAAAAATTCTATCAAAATAAATTTTCCTAATAAAAAAATATAAAAAATGAATTTTTTGTTCCAATTTTTCACTAAGAATATTACATGAACACCATTTTCGACAAAAAATTCTCACATTATTGAATTCAAATAGACACAATTAATTTTGGATAGAAATAAACTCATCAAAAATTTATAGATAAAGATGTATTTTCAAATTATATTGATTTTTTTATTCATCAGTAAATTATTTTTCATAAGTTCCAAACATAATTTTATTTTTATTATTTTTAGATTCCATTTTTTAATGTGTAATAACAAAAATAAATTGTAAATAAAAAATTACTAAAATTTAAACTTTAATTAGACAAAATGATTAAAAGATTTTTTTTATTACAATCTCATTTTAATACTTTATAGTTTTTATATTTTTATGTAAAAAAAATAGAACGTGTTTTCTTCTCCTATTACATACAGAATTTACTACAACTAGTATTTCACTGGTAAACTCCTACTTATTTGCTTGGCGGGCAAGCAACTACCTCCCTTCTCTTTATAACTAGCACTGAGTTCCAGTTCTTGTTCAGTTGTTCTCAGAGTTCAAAAGAAAACCTTTCCTCTCAGCAATTTTTCTCCAATGGCTTCCTCTACTTACCGTTTCAGTTACCAGCAACACATTGTTTATCAACCTCGGGCTGATCCTAAAATCTCTGACCCGGCTCTCGGTTTCCCTCAAATTGAATTAACCGTCACCCTTCAACTCCAACGCAGGCTCCATTATTGCGCAACCGATCAGTTCATCGATCTTGACGACCAACCCCCTATATTCTCCCAAGAAACCATTCGTTTTGATCTCCGTGCTTTGCATAGCTATGATCGGACTTTCCGAATCCTTGCTCCCATGCTAGTACGACTCAGAATCAACCCCAACCCCCAGTTTATTGATGAAATCATCCGACAAGGACTAAGCATCGGAACCTCGGAGTCCAATAAGGGACGTGAAGTCTTTCCTTTGCAAGCAGATCTATGGGGAACGACTGTGGAACACGTACCGGACGAGGAAGAGGAGGATTTGACTGAAAGGGCTCTGGAAGAATCGGCATCGGAGTTTGAAACAAGCAACTATAACATGGTTCCAGCCAAGGAGTCATCGGTGAAGAAGATGCTGAAGAGAGTGCGGGTGGAAACTGCAAAGGGTGGTAAAAAACAGGAAAAAACTATCAAGAAAAGGCGTGTGGAAGCTGAAAACTGTGTTATTTGTTTGGAGGAACTCAAGGTTGGATCAAATGCTTTTCAGATGCCATGTTCCCATACTTTTCATGGCGAATGCATTAAAAAGTGGTTGAAGCAAAGCCACTATTGCCCTGTTTGCCGGTTTGAGATGCCCACAGAGTGAAGAGTTTTTCTTTTTTTGTTTTTCTTGATAAACCTCTTCTACTTTTGGTAACTTGTAAATTGCTTCCGAAGAGGTTTTTTCTTTTCATTAGTTGTAGTTATTTTGTTTCTGTAACAATCCATGCTTAATGAACTTAAACTTTCGGTGCATGGCGGAAGTCTGCAATACATGGAAAGAATATATTATTTTCTTCTTTTTATTAGTTTTTTGTGTTTGCTTTTTAATTATTTTAATTGTTCTATTTAGTTTTGAGCTGGTTTTGGTATATTTCTTTTACTTCTCTGACGTATTACCAGGTGTTAGCTTCCTCCTGTCTCTGTACTTCTACGTTTTGTTTGATCTAACCAACCCTACATTCGAATATAAAAAATGTTTGTCTGTCCAATGACACTCCAATCTATTGTTTCGGTTTGCAAATATTGAAATATATGCTTAATTTTGATCTTGATTTCCTGTATGTATAGTTGCAATACAGAATACATTTGGTTCCCCAGTTTTTTACATATACAAACATATTGAATTTCTTTCATTGTTCTTTTTACTTGATTTTAATAAAGTGGAGAACAATATTACATCCACTTTGTGTAATCATGATATGGTTGTATCAATTTCCATCTATAGAGTGATAATGCAATGAATAATGTGAAGAGGTTTCCAACGTTCCCTTGTTGATGTCGTTTCATATTGGATGCAAGAAATAATGTTTGGGATTGAGGAGCAACTTAGAGCTTGAAGCTGTTTTACCGTGTCATTGACTTGTCTGAACTTTGTTTAATATGTCTGGTGTACAAGTTTAACAGACTGCTAGGTCCTTTCCAGCAGAGAGAAATTGTTGGATCCAGGTGTCCCATGTGCAATCTGAGATGTGGGAACTTTTTCATAGCTAGTTTTAGATACCCTTCTCCGGCATTGGATAACAGATTATCACCGCTGCTTTCAGTCTCCCTGTGAGTGGATGATTATAACACAAAGGAAATTGGATGTCGATATCCTTGTAACTGGTCACACCCATCAGTTCAAAGCATATCATAAGGACGCTGACAAGGTCTCAATTGTTGTTGTAATAGCTAACAGGTGGAACTGCCATCAGAGGATTGAGTATGCTGAAATATGCAGTTGCATTGATTCGCTATGAATCAAATGGCTAACATCTTTCAGGTAGCGAGAAACAATCTGATGATCTTATTTGTTTCTGTAATGCAATAAGTAATTCTTTCTGCAGTTTTCTTATGGATTCATTTCTTCCATGAGAATTGCTATCCTTTATATAATTGTCAGAGATGAAATCAACTGGCAAAGTTAGTCTACAATATTTGCAGCTAGTGCACGTTCTTACTATGGTGTTCTTCTGTTCCCATGAGGTGATTTTGTTGATGACTGCGGGAGTGATAAAGGTCTCACACCCTGAATGCTTTCTTATACCATATTGTAAATTCATTGACAATAAAGTAACTGGTGCAGAGTTGGCATGTAGCTTTCAAGCAACAAGAACACTCTAACAATTGACACACGACATGTACTATGACCTCTTGAGACCTTGACTATGGTGATTGCTCGGTTAAACTACTGTTCTTTTTGTGAATGGAAGGTAAGTCTAGATTGAATGAAAGCTGTGTATATTGGTTGTGAAGATAATCGTCATTGCTGACTGACAAATTTTCCTTTTTGTTAAATTTCCAAGGGCATACAGTTTGTTGAACAACGGGTTTAATGTTGTTTATAAACCTTTGACAGCATTATTTCCCAAGTTTTTTTCCTGTTTCAGCTTTCTGCAAACTTTGCAGAATGGAGAGACATGTTAATCTCTGTATCTAAGTAACCTTACCACTTTTTACTTTAGTCTTTCTTCTTTTGTCTTTTTCTGACTATCATGTTAACTGTTAAAGAATTCCTTTTGATTCTATCCAATTATATTTATTTTTGAAAAGATCTTTATTCCTGTTTATGCTATTGGGCTTCATTTCATTATCAATGGTGTTACAAAAGTTTCTGGAAAGAACATCTATGCTATCTTGAGTGTTCTTTGGTTTTTGGTTTTGCATGCTTGCGGTTGTAAGTGAGTACCAAATGATGTCTATGCTGAGGCTGGACGATGAAATAGGGTGGTGACACATTGAAGATCAGCTGCTGTAATTATCTGATGCGGATCATAGGTCGCCCTTTTGTGCATTTGTGCAGATTGTAGTTAATAGGTTTAGCCATAGTTTTATCTTATGTAGATATGTCATGAATTTCTTATCAAGAGCACCAGACCATAGTGGCCTTGTCTAATTACAGAACTGAGAAGGCAATAATGTACAAAGCACCTTGTATACTTCCCTTTTGTGCAAGCAATTTCATTAAGTCTACCAGAAACAAGTTCATTAGCTCTACTTCATATGTTTTCCTTGTTGTTTGGCCCGAATTTAACCCTTTTGCAAGTGCCTGTGACTGTAAGTAAAGTTTTTCTTGTACATGCTTTTCATGAGCAGGAAGTTCAAATATTGCTACTGAGTTAGCTCAAACTTGTTCAAATATTTTGCTCATTTACATGCTTGCATGTGGATGTTGGTTTTGAAGCCAAAATTTGTCCGTAGCATGTGCCCTTTTTTGTCTTTTTCAAGTCTAATTCCTTTATTTTCAATTGGGAGGTTATGACAAAATCCATTAGTATCTGGTCACAGTTGCAAACTAGGGAATGAAGGATGGGGATATTAGGGTCCTCTTTTACCTTTTTAGCCAAAAATAGGGTTCACTTTAAAATGCTAATTAATTGACATTTAATGGAATAAAGAGGAATATACTTGCTATTGCACAAGATGCCAATGCCATTAAAGTAACCATAAAAATTTATTATCAAATTGTGACACGGCCATGAATTGCCTTCCACAAACCACTACCAAGGCCTCATTCACATGACAAAATTGCTTAAGCATTTATGGAGAAAGCTGCCAAATTTGATGATTAAAACCACCTTGTTTTCAACGCCTAGGACCCCAGAATTCCCTCCTTAAGGAGGTACTCATTTAACCACTCCCCACCTCACAAACTCACCTTTTATTCCCCCTCATTTTATGTCCTCTAGCATACCAGAAAAAATATGTCATCTTCTTCACATCCTATTGTCGTCACCAGCTCCCCTGATGGCCCCATTACTGCCTTTGATGCAGCCTCAGGTGTCCAACTATGTCACTTCTCCGGCAGCCGGTCACCTTGCCATGGCCTTGCCCTTGTTGGAAGTTCATTCATTGCTGCCTCTCATATATCTTCAGAGACGGCTTCTGGCTCTATTCATCTCTACAATTGGTGGTCATCAACAGCTTTGCATAATTTTCCTGTTCCTGAACCTGTTGCACCATTAGCAGCTAGCCCTGATGGCTTGTATTTGTTTGCTGGTGGTCTTTCGGGTTGTATATATGCTCTGTCAGTTCCTTCAGGGGATATACTCAGATCATATTCTGCACATAGCAAGCCTGTTTCTTGCCTCAGAATAATTGAAGATGGGTCACTTCTCATATCAGGTGGCGATGATGGTACCATTTCTTTTGTTCCAATCTTTCAACTTGTTGCGGCATCGCCTGATCAGGATTCCAGCAGCTTGATGATGCAGGGATTTGTTGCGCATCATGGTTCAGTGACAGAAATAGCACAGTGCAACTCTAGTATAATATCATGCTCGATGGATTGCACAATTAAGTTTTGGGGACTGTTGGATGGAACAAACTTGAGAACAGTGACATTCCCATGTGCAGTTATGGGGGTAGCATTGGATCAAATGGAGACAGAATTCTTTGCTGCAGGTTCTGATGGATTCATCTATAAGGGGTCACTAAATGTTGGAAGCAAAAAGCATGTGAATCGAGGCCGCGAATTCATCACCTGGCCTCAAAAGCATGACGGTGGGATTGTATCTTTAGTGATGATGAGTGAAGGGAAGAATTTGGTATCTGCTTCAGAAGATGGGCAAGTGTATATATGGGAAATTGAAACAGGTCAGGTCCTTGTGGGGCTTGGCAATGATATGGGATGTATTAGTGACATGGTGGTGGCCAATGGTATGGGGCAAGGCTTCAAAGTTGGTAAAAGGGCCAACAACTCCTGTGATGAATATGGTGGATTAAACGGGGTCGAGCTGAGCACATCATTGAAGGACACATTAGACTTGGAAGATGTGTTAAAGGTGGCTGCAAAAGACAGGACCAGAGCCATCGATATGCTTGAGTCTGCAATTTCAATGTATGAAAGGCTCTTAGAGCTCATTCTCAAGGAAGCCAAGAGAGCTCCTGGCAGCAACAGTGAAATAGAAAAGCATGGAAAGTAAACTTTCACTCTATGCCATGTAAAACAAATTGAGATATTGCTTCTAAACTTCTCTATGCAAAAGCAAAATGAAGACAAATGAATTAGTTCAAATATTCCTTTCCTCTCTTTTTGTTTGTTTGGTATGTTTGTTTCTTTGTGATCTGCAACTGCTTTTTGCGTGTTGGAACCTGCAAGTGCTGCATGGTTATGTTACAATTCTATAAATAAAAGTGTCAACTAAAACAATAAATAGAATGTGGAGAGACATTAGGGAGATTAGAATTAAGCATATAGCTAACTAAAGAGAGAGAGCATGAATTACAAGGAAAATGTAAAGAGTACAGACAAAAGAAGAGTCTATGGTAGGAGCAACGTTCACATTTTGCTTGTGCATCCCTGTTTCTCTCCCTCCGAGCTGATTGTATCAATCAATACAAGGGTTCCTGTTTGATCTGCAATTGAGTTACAATTTCCTTCTGCTTTGATTAATTGAATATAAGACACCTTCCAAAGCCATCTGTCTGACCCTGTCTGCCATATCTAACATTCATTTGTCAGAATACAAGAAGCTGTTAGGAGCATCTGATTTCCTCTGAACTTAGGAGCTCAATTGTGGCTTGCTTGGAATAGCTGGCACAAGGCAGTAGGATAGTTGATCATGTAGGCTCATCATCTAAGTTACACAAGGATCCAGTCGCCATATCTGTATCCCAAACGTGTGGACATGGGTACATTAGGCTCCCTGTAACATTGTTCATCATCAGTCCTTTGTAAAAATATTCTTCAGTAAAAGACAGTGCAATCTGAGGGTTGTTTTATATATAAAGTGGGCATAAGAGTTGTCACCATACATTATCATATGTTTAAACTGATGAACCATGGTTGCTTGTTTGCTTAAATTGATCATGGGAAATTCCTCAAAATAATCTGAATTTTTTTTATATAAAAACTTATTCGATTTAAAATTTATTCAAGTAAGTGAAACCTGATTTGATTTTAAAAATTAACTACTCAAACTCGATTTAACTCGAATTCAAATGTATTTGAAATCAAATTAAATCCGTACGTCTTCACTTTCATAAGGTATATATATGAGTTAATTTTGATTATTTAATAAAAAAAAACTACGGCATAGTTTCTTTGTTTGTTGCTTATTATTAGATCATAATTAAATGTTTTAGTCAAATGTTGGTGGTCTATCACCTCATTATTTTTTAAATATATTATTATTTTTTGATAGATTATTTAATAATAGTATATTCTACCACATATATAAATAAAATGATTTTTTAAATGTTATGTTTCCTTATTGTTAGTTATTTTGAAAAACACACATTAAATTCAATTTATTGAGCTATTCAAAATTTATTAGTATTTCTTATATTTAATGAGATCTAAAATAAATTTCAATTATTATCATAAGAGATATTATTTTTCAAATAAATACCATAACAACATCATTTAATATTTTTGAGAGCATATAATATGAAAAATATAATTGTATTTTTTTAATAAGTGAAAAAGATATAACTGTATTAATAACTTTTTTTTGTGTGTAAACAAATATACACACAAAATATGTTTTAAATTCATATTTTAGATATTTCATCTTTTATAGAATCTATATGAAAAAGCTATATTTTATTGAATTACTTAGATTCATTAATTGATTGTTTTAGTTTTGTCTTAATGGGACTTCTAAAAAAAAATCAATTAATGTCCTAAAATATTGATTATTCACTCATAGTTATCAAATAAATATTTTAAATCTGTCATCACCTTATGAGATATAAAGTTAATCATTCGATTAGATTAGATAATAATGAAAAACACCTGAAAGATATTTACAAAATAAAAACAATGACAAAAGTAGTCATTCAAATTTAATAGTAAAAAAAATTAGATAATAAGAAAATCAGCAATGACAAAAAAAAAGAAAAGAGGAAAAAACAATTATTTAATATAATTAATTAAAATATATAAAGTAATATTTTGTTATGTTACTTACTATTATATATTATATAATAAACAATTTTTTTATATTTTCTTGTTAAGTTAAATTGAGATTATTGGAAATGGAATTTTCTAAGGAGTGTATGTACCTACAACATGTGGCCTTGTTGGGACAACACATTTTGCATGTTTGAATATATTTGCTTTCTTGACAAGTGGCATACAATCAGATGTTGATGGATGATCTTCAGATATTCTACCACTTGTTATTTTGTGTCTATCTAATCACCTCATTATAATAGAGTTTTTTTATCCCTATAAATAACCACGTTCAATAGTTTGGTAGTCTAACTATTCTTCCCTCTTAATTTTATTGTTAGCTCTTTTTTTTTAATTTCACTTTGGTTTTTTTAATCAATATTATTTTCTATTTATAATAAAGACATTCTAGGGCTAGTTATGGATGGATTTTATCTAATTTTTTTTATTCTCCTATCTAATTAGTTCTTGAGACTCCAAAATATCTTTAAATCAAAACATAATTTAGGGAGAATGAATAACTATTACAACTTTTAAATTACAAAAGTAACGTAAAATCAATCATAAGTTTTAACAAAAATAATAAATAATATCTAGATGAGTGATTTTGATAAGGAATACATGTTATGTTTTTGTTTGAAGATTGAATATCTAAGGAAATCTTAATATTAATAGCTGATCAATTCAAAATGTGATTTCACATTATCTTTCTCAGTCGATACACTATTATTTTTCATATCACAGTCATTTGCAGTTGCTATCATTACAAATATTATTCATTAAGATTGTGGAAATTGGTTGTTGTATCATGATTGCAAAATAAAGTATTTAAAGAAAAATATTTTGAAATTGAGAACACGGTCATATTTCGATTAGGGACAGCAAAAGAAATTCTAAACTTGAGAGCAGAGTATTGAACATGCCTAACTCATTGTTTTCATATTCTTTTCTACCATTGAAAGGGTAACTAGATAAATGACAAGGTTAATGATTCTTTGTCAAAATCAGCAGTGTAAGCATCTTTCTCTACAACAACTAGATGAAATTAAAAGGTTAAAGGTTGTTTGTCAAAGTCAGCATTGTAAACATCTTTCTCTACAGTTTTCTTTCTTACAAGACAGTTTCATTAATCACCCTTAGTAAAGTTGTGGATTAACTACAATTTTAGTCCCATTCTACAACTTTATCATTATTCTATTAGAATGAAACAATCAAATGACAATAAGATAATATGATAGGGTTGTGTTCCCTCTAAAGTCATGATTATTTTAAAGAAAAACAAAAGCAGTACAAATCGTATTAACACTAAAAGAAGCATATGTGTTGAGCGTGTATATTGAAAAAATAGTTTTTCAAATTTAAAGAAAAACAAAAGCAATACAACTTGTATTTTCACTAAAAGAAGCATATGTGCTTAGCATGTATATTAGAAAAAAATAGTAAACACGTGATGAGTATTTATTTTATTGAGCTTTTACTATTTTACTTGTGGTAATAAGAAAGTTAATTAGTCTGTACTAATTTTATTTTATTTTTATTTTTTTCTTTTTTTACAATAAACTTGACTTTGCTTTTTGACTGATGTATATAAGCTAGGTTCTATAATTCATTAATAAACTACACAAAAAATTATTTCACATTTATTCTTTCAAGCTTCCGATACTTCTCACATAATATCATAGGCATGTTATGAGATAGGAATTCATGAATGCAAATCTTCTTCGAATCTATTTGAGGTTTTGCAATGGGTTCAACTCATCTAATGGTTTAATTCTTGTTTTTCCTTTGTTTGATCTGTAAATCATACGTTCAATTTTGTAGATCTTGAATTGATAGGAAATTTGTTAATTTTACTTGGAATTTATTTTTCCCTTAGTTGTTTGGAATCTCAATCTATTAATACTTGATCTCTGCATTGTTGATTGAAGTTTTAATACTTTGTTCATGGCTACGGATTCACCAACCATGGCAAATAACTCATCAAACCCTAAATCTACGACTTCACATCTAGAAAATCTATAATCCCTTTTTGATGTTCATCACATTAATAATCATGGTTTAGTGGTAGTTAACCCTAAACTTACCTCTAGTAACTACAATGCTTGAAGTACTAGCCGTGTTGATAAGGAATAAGGTTGGTTTTTTTTATGGAACAATAGCTAAACTAAGTATAACATATCCTTTATTTAGTTCTTGGACTCTATGCAACCACTTAATAGTGGCATGGTTTTTAGACTCTATTACACCACCAATTTCATCGACTATTTTCTACATGGATAATGCTTTAGAAATTTGGAATACTCATGAGCAAAATTGTGCGCAACTTGATGACACTTATGTGTGCAATTTACAATACACTTTAGGCAATATATATCAAGGAACTAGAATAATGGATTTATATTTCATTAAGTTGAAAGGTATATGAGAGGAATTAAGAAATTTTTGCCCATTACCACACTGTGAATGTGGTAAATGTAATCCAGTTGGCTTCAACAAATACCTGAACAATATCAAAACAATATGGTTTTTAGGTTTCTCAATGACCTTAATGAAAGCTTTTCTACATTAAAATCCCAAATAATATCAATAAAGCTTTTTCCAAAACGGGATAAAACATGTAACATGGTTTTAAGAGAAAAATCTCAAAAAAAGCTTATTAATTTAGTCAAATCCAGCAGTAGTCATCTACTATGATAACTATTACAAATAACAAGAAGAAACTAAGGCAGAATTGATATGTAGTCAGTGTGGAAAAAAAGGCCATCTAAAGGAGGAGTGTTATAAGTTAATAGGATTTCCTAAAGATTTCAAATTTACAAAAGGCAAGGATAATTGCAAGAAATCAAAATTAGTAGTAAATAGTCTTTCTATTTGAAATTATTATTCTACAAGAGGTTAGATCAACATGATGAGCTCATTGGTATAAGTTTCATGTCTCAGATGTCACTTGTTAAGCATCAAGTTCAAAAATCGATGACTCTGCTCAATGAAAGTAGTATTAGTAGTGAAGATTGTAGAAACAATTCA